AATAAAAAATATAATAACCGTGGTTTTATTTGATAGAAAGAGAAATAAATCACTGGAGAAAGTAGATTTTCTCTAAATTCTTCGAAATGAATTAAACATATTGTTACAACATATACCCACTATCTATGTGTAGATGTTGTTTTAATTAATCCAATATATATGTATGTATAGAATTTCATTCATTTCAAGGCTCTTGATAAAACGATATCAGTTACTGTTAAGAGGCCGAAAATGTAATGGTGTAGGTATAATTTAGAACGGTAATATACTTGTGCATTATAAAATAAATAAAAAAAATTGAGAGCTTCAATAAAACAGCACAAAACGCTCAACACAGTCATATAGTATATAATATATGTATATGTAAATAAAAATATTTAATTAATATATTATATTTATAAAAATATGACTTTTTAAAGGGAAATAAATATAGAACTTATTTTTAGTCTATATAAAGGCAAAAAAAGCTAAAGTTAGAAAAATAACGACTTTCCTTAAATTACAGTAAACGTAACCGATTTAACGATCTACGATAACTGTTATGTTCGTATACATAAAAGCAACAGCGTTAAGTCTGGCGAAAAACTACATACATATGTAATACTAGCGACTCACCCTCGCTTCGCTCGGGTTCGTCCCTAGCTTGATTCCCTATACAAACTTTCATCCTCATTTTCACCCCCTTATGGGGATGATTTCCGGGATGAAAATATCATATGTCTTTTCCAGGGTCTCAAACTGTCTTCTTACCAAATTTCATCTAAATCGGTTCAGTAGATCCAGAGATTACCCCCTACAACGTCGCAAACTCACAAACTTTACCTCTTTATAATATTAGTATAGGTGTAGGTATACATATTTTGTTCTCAAATTTAATAAATAAATTGTTCAATTTGCGAGAATGTGATAATAATTTTACTTTAAAAAATTCGCAGAGTTATTCTAAAAACGTGAAACATTACTTTTAAACATAAATAAATATCTCAAATATAATTGTATTATTTTTTATTAGTTCGTACTTTGTATTTTTCAACTAAATCTTATTTATCCAAAAGAAAATACGTATTAAGTTTAGCAAAATACGTTTAATTTTAGCAAAATACGTAATAATTTCAGCAAAATACGTTTTAATTTTAGCAAAAAACACCCGATTGTATGAAGAAACTAGTTGAAGCGACGCTCGCGGTAGTGACCTGATACGACGTTATCAGAAGAGCCTTTAAACAAATGGCTGACAGAACAATGATTGCTTATAACTTTACGTTTCGCCCAAAACACTATGAACGATCCATTAATCTTTGACACCTATTGATTATAATTATACATTATTCTGAGCTGATATCGATAGAAATATGTAATTACATCATTAAATTGTACATAATTAAATCAGAATTTTGTTATACATATGACACACGCGCTGATAATTTCTCCCAAACTACAGACTCTACGCGAAAAACGTATTGAACAAAAAATGTCAACCTATTTAGAGCCTACAACTTTTGTAGGCAACATTTATCTCTAAAATCAATATTTATCGCTATGAACGCCAAAAATATTACAAAAAAATATATCGATTTTTAGATTTCACCTTGAAAATATTTGCGGGTATTTTGAAATTCAAAAAATCCCGAGACTTAGGCATTCTCATCCTTAATAAAATAGGCGCAATGTAGAGAAACGTATGTAGTGTCACTACATTAATACTGTTTAAAGATAATGTAACCAACCACAAACACATTTCATACTACGATGAGTTTTGTAAATTTTCATTCTACCGGCAAAAATATATGCAAAAATAACCCGTTTGAATAAACTTTCTCTGACTGAAGTTGATAGGAATTCGAATTAAAAAACCATATCGATGCTTTAACAGCAATAAAATGTAAAGTTGAGCTCGCAGAATTACATATGGCAGTAAATTGATTTACATCACTACCGTGAAGAAAGAAGCAACAGTCATGTTATAGTATATAACTATGTATATAATATATTATAATGTATTTAATAATAAAGAAAAAAATATTCTTATACATATAAATTATAAACAAATTATAATTATATACCTAAATAATTAAAACAACTATACGTAGATAATAAATGTTATTTATATTTAAGACATATAAGTATACATGATGATTGATGACACTGTCCAATGTCATCGAAGGTTGAGGGTTCGATTCCGGCACGGTCAAGTGGTAAAAAGCTGAGATCTCTGCGAGGAATCACTGATTTCAAACGAGGAAGATAGTGATATGTAAGAACGAAAATAATATAATTAATATTCTTTAGAGGCAAGGCATATTTAGACTTAGAATACTGAAATGCTTAATGATTAATCACTGTGATGAATTCTTCACTTAATGAAACGCGCATTATATTACCTCATTCGGGCATCGAACCCGTTGTCTTAGTGTTCACAATAACAGCTTAGCTAAGTTATTTATTTTATATTTATACATACATAATTGTAACTGATTCGAATCTGTATATAAAATATTTTTTGGAAAATCTTATTGAAATAGTAATTATTATTGATAAAGAGGCCGAATCTATAGTTTATAGAATTTGTGTTTGTTTGTCTGTCTGTCTGTCTGGGAACGCATCACGAGAAAACCACTGAGCAAATTTTGATAAAATTGGGTATGTTGATAGCTGGTTATCCAGGTCAACATATAGGATACTCTTTACTGCGGGAAAATATCTCATCTCTGAGAAATCTATACTAAACGTTAAAACGTAACTAGTGCCGAACCCGAACGGAGCGAGGGTGAGTTCCTTGTTTTAGAATATAATAGCTTAGCCAAGTTATTTATTATGTAATATATATAATACAAAGAGAAAGATATTGTATGAATGAGAGTAGTAAATTACTTTTTATTATAAGAAGTCATACTGAAACGAGCCTATCCAAAAGTATACGTCTCAAGGTCGAATTTCTAAAACAGCCTTTGTGTCTGAACAGTGCGGAGGATCATTGATTTGATTCTTATCTCTATGGCTCTGCTACTCTTAATTATATCGAAAGATATATTTTTTGCTACACACATTCATCATGGTGAAAAGCATATTTTAATAAAACTTTTTGACAGATAATGTGTTAACTTGAAGAGTGAGCAAATATGTACATATAATAAAATTGTAACTAAGCCGAATCTATACGTTAAATATTTTTTTGAAAATCTTATTGAAATAAACATTGTTATCGACACAGAGGCCGAATCTATAATTTTTTGAATTTTTGTCTGTCTGTCTGTTAGCGCATCACAGAAAAACCACTGGAGGGATTTTGATGAAATTTGGTATGGTGATAGCTTGTTATCCGGGTCAACATATAGGATACTTTATTTCTGAGAAAAAATACAAAAACTGCAATGTAAGAGTATACTAATATGTAAAACCTAAGAATTTGTTTTTTGGCAATGCTATTAAATAATAAAGAAATAGTCAATCAGTACATATGTTTATGTCAGATTATAATGAATTTAATAAAGAGACTTTGGAATAAAATATAATTAAAAAATCTATAAATATAATCATAAGTAAAATTTAAAAAAAATACGCGTTATGCACAAAATATTGTATTGAAATAAATGCGTATCGTTTCACAATTTGTTGGGAATATGAAAACCTTTAACGCTACATTTCGAGCAGACTACGGCCGTCTACGTAACATGAAAAAGGTCGACGGCACACTCGCACATAAGCAGACGAAATATTTATAGATGTGCCCTTGAAAAGGACAGATGGAGTCCTCCATTGCAATAAATTGACAAAGTTAAATCAATGGCATGGAAGCCAACGTTCATATCAGTATTACAGCTCGAGTGTTTGATTTATGAAATACAAATCGCGATTCGCAATAAAAAATGGCAAAGTTTAACGAACTGTACACATTGCAAAATATTTCAATACGTATGAGACAATATGTACTTTTTTAATACTGGTTTTATTATGTTTTTAAAACATGACGTACAATTATAAAATGCAATACTCACATACTAAGGACGTATTTGAGGGAGCGATCCGGCTTCGCCATGATAGCAGAAAGCATATTCTATTCTATTGTTTATAGGATATCGTTTTGGACCACTGCACAGTAGTTGTTTATCTTATCGCTTCCCGTCCCATGGACGCGATAACGACTCGCAATTAACATTGGTTCATACATACATGTCTTTAACAAACGCGACGCCTACTCACCCTACTCTAGTGGGCCTGAAGCCTTACAATTATGAGATTAAAGCTCAGTATGAAACACCATCCGTGACGGTCTCAAGGCGAGGGGCTAGCTTGTAGATTTCCGAAAATATAAATTAGTAGCAATGTAATAACTGAGATACAATAGTTGGGGCCATAAACCTGCTGTAACATAAACAAATAAAAACTTATTTTCGGTCTCCACTACACAACATGCAATATTCAAGCGTTTACACAGCTGACCTGCCGATGGACAATACACACTATAATAATAATATGTACATGTTAGCACTACTGTCACAAATAATTATATGTATAATGGATAATATGTATACTATAAGTAAATAGGATAGGGCTGGGGATGTAGTATATAGAAAAAAAATAGAGAAATATAAATACACTCTATTTAAACATGAAATTTATTAAAGATTAAAAAACATACAATGTTGTTTTACACAAAATAAAAATACCTGAGGGTAAGGGGCACGGGGGGACTGGAGGCGGGCCCCGGGCCCCGGGACATATACATATTCGACAGGTCCATACAAAGTCCCATAATATAATACTATATCATATGATAAAAAGTACACATATAGGATACTGTCAAGCAACTCAACTCACAGGTAGTCATGTCGCGCTCTCGTCGGTACAAAACTATAATAAATCTTACAAAAATACTTATGCGACTAATTTGAAATGCACAAAAAGGATCGTCATCGCTACAAAAATATTCTGAGATTGGAATGAAATCTTAAGCTTTCGGCCCCGGGACGATCACAAACGTTCAAAACGTCCTTAGCCTAATTATTTCTCTTCTGAGTCTTAAAGCTAACCGATAGAACCTGTCCATTGAGCGTGTAGCCATTGAGCGCCTGGATGGCCATGGCGGCCTCGTCGTACTCGCGCATATTGACGAACGCGAAACCTTTGTTCTTCTTCGTCTCCGGGTCCTTGATCACTTTGATGGAGTCGATGGCACCGTAGGGGCCGAAGAGTTGCCACAGGGCGAGCTCCTCAGTGTCCTCGCCAATGTTGTATACGTACACGGTGGTCTGGTGGGGGGCGGCCGGCGCGCCCAGCAGGGGCACCGGGCTGGCCGGCGCGCCTATTAGTGGCAGAGGAGTGTGATTAGCGGCCGCCATGGGATTGTAGCGCTGTTGGCCCTTGTTGATGAACGGCAGAGCCTTACCAGGGGACGGTAACAGAGGCGGCGGTGAGGCCTGAGGGAAGCCCGGCGCGAAAGCCGCCGCAGGCCGAGCTCCGAACGCTGCGCTTAAGTTCGTACCGTTGAAGGCAGGAGTGGTACCGTTGAAGACAGCCGTCGCACCGTTATAGGCTATCGGTGCCGCCGCTATGCCCACCCTCGGCCGGGGAGCGTTTTTATTCGCACTGGGCTTGTTTGCAAACTTCACTACGATCGCCCCCGCGCCGGGTATCGGTGACTGGCCGTTCATATGTTGTATCGCGTCCTCCGCCTGCTGTCTGATTTCGTAGCACACGAATCCGATACCCTGTGATACTCTGCTGTTAGTTATATTTCCGAATTGACTAAAAAGGCTGTTCAGTCTTTCAAGGGTCATATCTGGAGGTAGATTGCTTATGTAGAGATTCGACTCGGTGTCGGGCTTGTGGCTGACCTTATTCTCTGGATTGAGGAGTGCGAATGACACTTTTAAGGTCTTGCCCTGCATCAACAGGCCGTTAAACGCGGCCCGCGCCTTCTCTGCGTCCTCGTGTTTCTCGTATTCCACAAACCCATATCCTCTATTCGCTATCAGTTTACAACTCTCGATCTTTCCCATCGCAGAGAAAAGCGCGTACATCATGTCCCGCGTCATCAATTCGGGGATATAGTTGACCATGAGTTTGGTCGGTGACACATTGGAATTAGCGTCGCCGCCGCCATTCTCCACATTCATGTCGCTGTTTAACATTGTTCTTTTACGTACAAACTACACTACGGAAAACAAAATACTAATAAAACTCACACTGATGGAAATTGGTTATTTCATTTGCGACATGAAAACGAACAAAGAACGAACACAAAAAAACCCAAATCGTACGAAAACGCCAACAGCAACGCCGGTTCACAAGTTCATCATCACACGACACATGAACGAGTTTGTTTTTGGAATGTTACCAGAACAATATACTTTTCGTTCTAAAGTTTATAGTTAAATTATATTTAAACGTTTACGTATCAAACACTTTTAGAATATATTTAGCCCTGATTTCACGTGTAAAATGTTATATTTCACGCATGCTTTATGAATATTGTCAAAATTATAATTTTTCTTTTACGTGGCACCATTTCGATTAGTCGATGGAATAACTGTTTTATAATCTGTATTCTGTACTAATATATTTTCACAGATTGACTTTATAATTTAAAATTCTAAAGAATTTTACCTAAAATATCAAGATTATCTTTGACAATTGTTTTTGAATATTTTTAGGAGTAAAATATCCTCTACATACACATATGTCCATTATAGTTTATCTGAAAGATTTTTTTATTTATTTTGACATTTACTAGGGATCAGCTGTCATATGTCAAAGTGAAATATAATTTTAGGTTATGTAGATATACTAATTACTAAGTCAATAATTAATTAATTTAAAGTGTTTAGACCATTCTAGGACAACAAGTAAAACATGTATCTAACAAACGTATTATTCAAAAAAGCAAAGAGCAAGTCAGTAAATTTCTTTTATATACTGTCAATATATTTATAGTTTTGATATTTGAAAAATGCTATTTGGTATGTTTCAGATACATAATGGTGATGATGGAAAGTATGGTTTCAGGACACACTTATAATGCTATAAGAGAAAGGCTAGGTGACAAATTGGAAGTAATTCGCTTTGATCCATTTAGTAAGTATTTTTTACTCCTATACATTTATTAACGACTACAAGACTTTACATCACTTTCTTTTTCAAATATCATAAAATATTTTATTGATATATTCTTTTTAACTGCAATGATTTCATCTCCACATGAATGAGAAGGTTAAAATTTTAAAGTAGATTTTTTCTCACTAAATAAGTTATAATGACATATTTATTTTATAAACTAGTGACTTACCCTCACTCGGCTCTGGTTAGTTATGTTTAGTATAGATTTATCAGTGATGAGATATTTTCACGCAGTAAAAAGTATCCTAGATATTGACCTAGATAACCAGCTATCAAAATTTTAAAATCTATATACTCGACCTCTGTATTGGTAATGACTATTACAATAAAATTTTCCAAAAAAAAATTTAATGTACAGATTCGATTTAGAATTTTATTATATGTATAAGATAAGAAGATAATATCAATATGGGATGATATTTTTTAATTTTTAGGATATTTAACATAAAAAAGTATAGAGAAGCATAGCTGTTGTGTTTTTTACTCTCCTATACCCTCTGGTTTTTATAATTATATATTTATGGTTTCTAGCTACACATGTAAATACTAACTAAATCAGCCGACATTCATTTCTGTAGCACATACATGTCCTGGTATACCTGGTATACTTGTTACCATATACCATACATTCTCTAACATAATATCATATTATATGGTGTACCAATCAGCCAACGTGGTACACAATGGCACTGGCTTAATATAGTATGGCTGCTATCAGCATATAAGTACAAAACCTTCTCATTGTTATTTGTAATTTCAATACATAATAATTTATGGATGACTAACAGCTAAGCCCTTTGAGCTTTGCTCACACAAGTATTGATTATCTCAATCAATGACTGTATTTGATTTACATTATATCATTTTGAGTATATTATGTATTCTAATTTTTCTTGATTTATGAATTTTGTGATTAATTCTTTTAAACACCTGGTCTATATATAGGCACATACCTTGTATGATGTTCAGTGACTTAAGGTATAGAATACATCAGCATTATATATACATATTAGCATTATATAGTCATAAAGTTATCTTTAAGCCATATAGCATAAGCCATAAAGTTATATAAAATCTGAATCTCTGAAACGGCTCCAACGATTTTCATGAAATTTAGTATGCAGGGGGTTTCGAGGGCGATAAATCGATCTAGATTAGTTTTATGTCTGGGAAAACGCGTGTTTTCAAATTTTCATGCGGATTTGTTTCGCACGCAAAATATGTTCGCTCAATCGTATGCTAGGAGATAAGCATCGTGGTCAAGCGGCCAAGGCGCAAGTTTGACAACCACAGGCGTCTGGGTTCGTATCCAGGTCGGATACAAAGTTTATACTCTTGTTTTTTTTTTGTATTTATTCAAATTTTTTGTTCGTCTTTTTTAATGTTTTTTTGGCAAAAAACGCCGAGCGAAGCTCGATGGCCCAGGTACTTATACATCTATACATATAATAAAATTGTAACTAAGTCAAAACTGTACATAAATATTTTTTGGAAAATCTTATTGAAATAGACATTGTTATCGATACAGAGTCCGAATCTATAGTTTTTAGAATTTTTGTCTGTCTGTCTGTCTGTTACCGCATCACGAGAAAACCACTGGTCAGATTTTGATGAAATTTGGTATGATGATAGCTGGTTATCCGGGTCAACATACAGGATACTTTTTACCGCGGGAAAATATCTCATTTCTGAGAAAAAATACAATAACTGCATTGTAAGAGTATATTAATATGTAAAACCTAAGAATTTGGTTTTTGGTCATCTGAACGCGGGCGGAGCCGCGGGTAATGCTATTTAGAAATAAATTCCTTGCCATATAGTTATGTAGAGATCTAGTTTGTGGTATTTATTTATTTTATTATATATATATATATATATATATATATATATATATATATATATATATATATATATATACTATATATATATATATATATATAACAAGTTATATATAACTGAATGCCTCTGAGAGTATGTAAAGCAATGAGTCCTGTGCCTGATCTCTCAATGTTTATGTATTGCTTGTGTCAAGACATTGTTTTGTAATTCTTTATTTTATATATAAATAAAACCTAATGAAATATACAAGCTACTTTAATAATATTTAAATTGAACTTTTGTTTCAGTCCAACACGAAAGTCTGTACAAGGAGAAAAAAAAGATTAGAAGCATGAAATAGTATGCTGTATTGTAGTTCATATAATAAGTAGGATAAATAGGTCAGTAAATAAAAACCATTATGTTTTAAATAATATAATTATTGTACTTTAAAACAATAAAATCTTTGGGATACAATGTGTTTTATTTCTAGCAAAATTATTTTAAGTACTGTAAATATTATCGTCAAATATGAAGTATAAATGACATATTGGATTATATGCAATTGTGTAGAGTTATTGTAATATTTAATAATTATTTATATTTGTCTATGCCCCTTGGAACATTTAGGCAGCTTTTATATTTAATTTAATAGACAAAAATAATTAAGTAGTATTAATATTTTTATAATAATATAATTATATTCTTACAGATATACATAAAAATTCATGCATACAATCCAATATGGCCACCACAATAGTTTATATTACATATAATAAATTTAGAATATATGCTTTACGTTTTCAACCTTACTCTAAGCTGTAGGAAATATTAAATGAGGTATGAAATGTGCTTCTAACATTAATAAATAATACAAACAGATTAATTATTATTTAAAATAACTAATTGAAAGCAATAAACTTTTATATAAACGAATGTCATGTAAATACTCTATAAAAGATCAATTATAACTGTAAATTGCAGATTTTGAACGACATGCAATGCAAAGTAATATATATTGTAATTTATATGAAAATATATTCGAATTTAAGATTTATTGAAAATAAATCAAATATGCTGATAATAATAATCTGCAATAGACAGCAAATAAAAGTGCAAATTTTAGAAACACTTCATAAAATAACATTACTTAGAATTATAGTCATTATGTTCTAACACTTATAATTACTCTCACTATTTTTTATACTATCAAATACATTATATAATCGTAAAATTTAAAATTTAATTTTCAATGATTTATAGATACCAAAAAAAATATTTTCAATAGATTGTTTCAGAAACAATTTTTGTTGTTGTAGGTTATTATAAAATTGACTAGAATGTAGTAAGATAATCTATAATGTTTATAAGACATAAAATATGTAACTAAAACTTCTAACAAATAAAATTATATAAATACTTTAACCAGATTGACGACTTAATGTAAAACTCATACTTAATAAACTACTTAGTTTAAAATGTATGAGTTTTTATAGTAGTTTTAAACAATACAGCGTTTTTCTAGTTTCTTATTTTTTTTTAATTTTACTTGTATACTTTCACCAAGATTGGAAATAGTGATTAAAAGTAAAACGGTTTATTTCCAAGAAGTCGGTTATAATATTTCAATTATAAATAATTATATCACCAACATGATTATAGTCTAAGATCCGAAGTAAGGTCGTCTTTCACTCATCTGCTTGAATAAAAAGTATATAAATATTATACATAGTAAAAAAAACAAATGTATCGTAGATGATTTGTCTAATGAATTATATCAAGAGGCAATTACTAAAAAAATATGTCATAATTTTTGTTTTAACGTTTCACTTCTTTGCTCTCCATTTACATTTATTCCAAACCTTGTCCTATCCTATATTACGCCAAATTGTAAACTATACTTTGTAATTTTAATTAATATAAGATTTATTTCATAAGGAAATTGATGAAATACTGGATATATTTTATTGGATCAGGAGTATATTTATTTATGCAATATGGTTAATACATCATATTTTTCATTCAGTAAGCAGAAGAGTGAAAGGGAACCCTACTTCGGATTCTCGACTATAACCAAGATTACTTAATATTTAAACAAGATTACTACCTAATACAAAACGTTCAATACGTTGAAATATTGACATTTAAAGAGTCTATTAAAGAAATTACAATTTAATTGTAACTATTCTGTTATATACGTATTTTCTTTGGCTTACATTATTATTTACAATATGGCAGATATTGAATAATTATGATTTGGTCCACTACTAAATTAATGGTACAGTCAACTACAGAAATTTAGTATTTTTATGCCACTTTTAAAATAAGGAATGTACGTATATAATATTAAATATCGATGTGATTTTATTTGCTGACGGTATATGAATTGGAATGAAGCGTTATTTACGCTTTTTTTTTGATAAATAAGCATTTTTTTTTATTGAAAATGACATCATTGTATAAAAACTTCGGAAATATAAGATAAAGTAAGAGAAATAGTCCCTTATCTATTATTTTAGAATAAACTTACTATTATTTTACTTACATACAGATCCAATATTTCGTAATACGATTGTGAGTAATCTGATAGTTTCCAGCAAGTTTTCTTTTTAATTAAAAAAAGATAAACGGAAATCTGTTATATTTAAAAATAACTAAGCAGTTTACTTTTACCCGTAAAGAGATAATTTTACTCTAAATAATAATACTTAAATGTATTGAATTTTTCAATAATAAGTAAAAATATAACGCAAAGCCATTTGCATGTAAATTAATTTAGTTAACAATGTTTATATATTATGTTTAGTAAACGTCAACTTGTGTTTACTAAAGATATTTTATATTTAATGTATATAATCCAATGCTTTCTAACTTTGAATATTTGACATTTTTAATTGAAATCATTTATTTTTTCAGATTCATTTTGATTTTAGATCAAAACTTAAAATGAATCTGAAAAATAATTTTATTTAAAATATTTAAATCAAATTCATATTTTTTGTATGAATGGCTCTTAAACTTACTTTACTTAAACCAAAATAACTTAATTACGATATAACTTACATACATACTGTATATGTATTATATATTTTATCATTATATAAATATTTATAATTTTGAAAGGCCGAATAATCACGTTTAATTTTATATTTGAATAGTCGTTAAGAATTATCGTTTCTTTATTCGTTTTTGACAATAATATTACAAGCAGTGGTAAAATTCTTATTTTTACTTATCTGCCTTTTTATGAAAATGAAATAAAATTTAAAAATACTGAAAAAGTCATTTTCGATGTAATTTTTTAAAGTGTATTAATAATAAAGTAGAAATAAGATTTCTTAAGATTTACGCGAATAATTTGCAATATTGCAAGTGCAAGTAGGTATATAACGCCTTTGAGACGTCTAACACCCCAGTCTCTCCCGTGACCATGATTGCTGTAAAGCATTCGAAACGTCGGGAACCAAAAATCTAATTAAATCCGCGAAATAATCAGAAAAGTTAGTTTTATTTAAAATAATAATAAGTTTCAATTTGTTTGAATTTCAGGTAATTTTAATATTTATTGTATTTTCAGATTATTATATATTATTTATTCCATTTATCGTAAAGCAAATTATAAACCTACCACTGCTTGTTACGTTATGAAATAAATATAACAGTTAATAGAATATAATACTTATAAATATTTACAATATTAAATAATTATACTCTATATAACATGAGAATTTTAATATACATATACCTTTAAATCTGAATAATAATATACATAAATAATATTAATAATTATTAAATGTTAAAATTAATTATTCAATAAATAATACTTAGCAAATATTACTTTTTAAATTTAATTTATGATTTATTCACTAGATAAATGATTCTAAATACGCCGAATAATCATTTAATTAACATTTTTAAGAATTATTTTATGTTATAAATAAAAATTAATTTACTTTAATAAATATACTAAATGACCTAATAACTATTAATAATAATAAATGTATAAATTTAACTAAAACAAAATAATTCAAAATTAGACATTTCTCATTGGCTGCCATTATACTAAATATTAAAGTGGTTAATAAGAATAAAAGTATAGGAAATAAGTAATATAATTTTAGTCATTTCCATACTTAATGGTATATGTAAGCAAATAGTAAATTATAAAATAACTAGCATTGCCCGCGGCTCCGCCCGCGTTCAGATGACCAAAAACTAAATTCTTAGGTGTTACATATTAGTATACTTTTACATTGCAGTTTTTGTATTTTTCCTCAGAAATAAGATATTTTCCCGCGGTAAAAAGTATCCTAGGATCGCGCGCTACATCGCCCGGTTTATATAGCTTGAGCAGGCGGTCGAGCGATGCGGGGCAGAGGGGATGGACTCGCCGTAGGCATCTCAATGCTCGCCAAGCATTAAAAATGTTTCGCTACTAATTACTTCTAACAACGATATCTCAAAAACTATTCATCTGATTGATTTAGTGTAAAGAGCAATTTTAATCTGCATTAAATGACTAAGCTAACTAAAATATTCATTTGGATAAGGATTAATACCGAACTAAAGAAAATAACTTTGAAAATAACGTAATGTTTTTAATTAAAAATGTTAACATAAAAGTGGTTATTGTAAGTCAACCGTAAGAGATAGAGATATGCTATCGCGGACTTTTTTGTAGCATTTTTATAGATTTTGAATTCTCTAGTACATTACTTAACTGTATCTTTGCTAGTTTACGCGGCGTTCGCGTGGAAAGTTCCCATTTGGCGAGATTTTTTGCGACCTCTTCAACATTTGTCGCCGTATTTCAGCTAATTTACATAAAAGCATAATAAATTATATACCTAAACCTTCCTCAAGAATTACTCTTTCTATTGTTGAAAACCGTATAAAAATCCGTTCAGTAGTTTTCGAGTTTATCGCGTACAGACAGACAGGAGGACAGACAGGAGGACAGAAAGACGCGGCCGGGGGACTTATTTTTATAATAAGTATAGATAGATAATATTATAATTTATTTATTTAATATATATAATTTGTTCATATTATTATTACTATGTATACAATATAATCTTGTTACGTCGTAATTAAATGAAATATAATATGTAGAAACTTTTTGAAATTATTTAGATTATATAACTTTTAGTTGATATTCAATAAATTTTTGCTTAATAAATATTCATATAGAGAAATAATAAAATATTATAAGATTTTCATTATACATTAAAATTAAGTCTGAATGCTATTGAATGTATTAAATCTGTAGAATTTATTTAAAAAAAAAACATATATCTATAATATTACAGACAAATGAAGAACCACTAAATAATTTGAAAGTCAAAAAAATATCAATTTTAGCATTAAACATTAAATATGTTCAATTTCAATACATAAATAACATACGATTGAAAAAAAACTAAAACTGTTCTGTATAACTGACTGACTGACTCAGTAATAACTAACTACACTAACGTCGAATCACAATAATCTATAGCGGTTCCCTTAATAATAAAAATTTGACATACTTATGTCAAAAATACCAAAAAACCACGCATTAATAATTTATTGGGATTCCCAGTAAGAGATCACTGACTAACTCACTCACTCACTGCGCAAGTCATTTGTTCAAGCAGCGGAGCGATGTCCGGGTACTTTCATGCAAAAAACTCGGTTTTAGACGCCATTTCGAATTCAGATTCCTCCATTTTGTACATTTCGATCAGCTGGAATTCAAAATTGTATAATTAAGTATTTTTTGGAATAAACATTATTTGTAATCTATGTACTTCGTTCTGGATTCGGATTTCGGGAACCACTTAAAGTTCTCCTCCTGATCAGAAACTATTACTATACAAAAAAATCACATCGATTCGGTGTCAGTAACTTTTGTACTTAAGACTATAATATATCACTACAGGTCATATTATTTATGTATTTTTCATCCAAATCCCTCAAGCATTTTAACGTAACGGAATAACAGACATACACACACAATTAAATATATTTAAAGATAAAACTTGTATAAATAATAGCACTTGGGCGATGGCGCTTCCTTCGGCGTTTTTCGGAAAAGATATATAAATTGGTATTCTTTTAGAAAACAAACTTAAAAACCAAAACTTTATCTAAATATAAAATTTGATCCATATCGTTAAGGTCATTTCTAGAAATAAATGTGTGTATATAATATATAAGAATTGCTCATTTAATATTATAATATTTACTGATAACTCACATTGTCAATATCCTTGGAGAGTTCCTCCATTTGCTTGTCGTGAGTTGCCTTCAGCTTGTCTTTTTCGCGGTTCTGTTTGATCGTTTGATTCTGGAATTGTACGAATTAGTGCTCATTAAGGTTAGTATTTTAAATTTTACGGATTTTAACGCAGACTACCGACTCACCCTCGCTCCGCCTGGGTTCGTCCCTAGTTACGGTTTTATGTTTAGAATAGATTTCTCAGAGATGAGATATTTTCCCGCAGTAAAGAGTATCCTATATGATGACCAGGGTAACCAGCTGTCATTATAAAAAAATCATCAAAATCTATCCAGTGTTTTTCTCGTGATTCGTTCCCAGACGGACAATAATTCTAAACTATAGATTCGGCCTCTGTATCAATAATAATGACTTTTTAAATAAGATCATCCAAAAAATATTTAATGTACAGATTCGACTCAGAATTTTATTATTTATATAGATTAAAACATTAACAAATACGACCCACGGATTTTTCAGCAATAATTTGTTGCAGACTATTTTTAATTAAAAAACCTCATTAAATTTGTTATAAAATTATCCATATTTTGATGCTTGGTTTGTTCCGGAAAACGATTCGAGCAATTAACTAGGTACTTCAATTTACGCGTTCATACCTAGATATCAGGTAGTGTGTTCAAAAAAGGTCGCCAAACGTATTATGGCATTTTCTATAAGTAGTTTACTTTCGATTGATAATAATTTGTCGCAGGAAAAGAGTTCTTGTAATTAAAAAAAAACAATTAAATTTATACTTCTGTTGGCACGTTTGGAAAAAAATATGAGAGTAAAATTTTTACGATGCGCGCGCACCAACAGCAAAAAAAGCGACATGATGATGTTAGCTGCATTCCTTTTACAAACAGAGAGTTTTTGTTCTGTTGCGCCAAAGGAGTATAACTTCTTCGTGCGTACATAAATAAGTACACACACAAGTTTATTAATATATTAAAAAAAGTCGTCTGGAAAAAGAGTGAGGTGTCCACCACATAGATCGGGATCTCCTACTATAAGTTAGCTATCAAATTATTATAAAAAATAACAAACCTTGCGCTCGTCCATGAATTTCTTAGTGTTATTCTGTTTCTTCTCTCGCAGACGGCGATCTTTCTCTTGCTTGGTCTTCAGAGTCTTATCATTGGCCACCTCCTTGCTGGTCTCGACACTGATTTTGGCTTGTCGCGTGTTCATCTCTTTTAATTCCCTGTGAAATTGTACGCATTTTTAATTGTAACATGTATAATTTTTCATTTAAATTTATTTTAATGAATTTGTTTTAAGTAAAATATTTTAAGTAAATCAGAATCTGTATCTTATAAAATACAATTTTTTTGAAAAAAAAAGATTTTTTTAAGTCCACATTTTGAATTGGCCCACTGATTTTTAAAATAAATAATTAATTAAAATGTTTGGTTTGAATGAAAAAAATATTTTTCGAGTTTGGGGATTGACGAATATAGTCATTTTCTACTCAACTTTCAGTATAATACAAGAAAAGTAACGTTTTGTTTAAATCTGTTTTTGAAATTGCAATGATGGAATATTTCTACTCTTGATATTATATTTCATTTTTTTATTTATATGTAAAATACATTTAAGATTTATAAAGAAACAATATAAGAGAAGCAGTATAATTGCGCCAGCTGCATCAAGTGAAAGAGAGAGTTCGCAAAATATTTCATACAATCCTGCCTCTCTAGTGTAGTGGCAGTCACCTCTCGTGCTTGGCCTCGAGCTGCTTCATCTGCGCCAGCTGCGCCTGCTCGCAGCACTTCTTGAGCAGGTCGCGCTGCTCGTGCAGGCGCGCGCTGGCGGCCGCGCACAGCTCGGCGCGCTGGCGCCGCACCAGCTCGCCCCACGCGCCCGCCTGCTCGCCCACCAGCTGCCGGAACGACGCGTCCGTGCTCAGCTGCTCTTTGCTGGGGAGGCGTTCACTCTATTACATTTACTATAATAATAATATGTTGGGACATTAACGCACACCACCATCTAGTTCCATGCAGGCTTCTGTCATGGATACCAGGCAGTTTATACACTACACATATATAACTTTATGTATATCATATTATAAATATAAACACTCATGACTGGAGTACAAACATTCGTGCTCATCACACAAATGGATGCCCCGAGCGGAACTCGAACCCGCGACCGCTGGCACAGCAAGTAGGGTCAATACAAGCTGAGCCACTTGTCGTACTATATATTGTACACTAGCGATTCATCTTCGCTTCTCCTTGTATGGAATAGACTGCCAATGAGTGGTATTGAAGTGTAATTTAAATTATTACAAGAAATTTTAAATTGTTATTGTCTGTCTAATCATGTTTAATTAAAGGTATTGATTCGTATCATGGATGGATCGGTATTTTACTTTTTTCCAACATATTTATTTAACTACATGAAAAGATGGGGGGGCGGCACTATTCTACTACCCGGAACCACACGGGTATATTGTATATTTATATATACCGGCTTTATATTATACAACAGTATTTTAATAATTGTTATTTTTAATTAAAATTAACAAAGCAATTGAAAATTAATTAATTGTTAGTTGTTACTAATACAGTTAACAATTAAATAATTGTTAATTGTAATTTTTCACAATTACAATTGATTAATTGATAAAAACTGTCCTTCGTCCCTCCCTCAAACTATGTTCATACCAATCTTCATCTAAATCAGTTCAGTGGATTTTTATTTTATTCATTACCAAACAAACATTGTATCCAGCCCTTTTTAACGTCCCACTGCTGGGGGTGGGCCTCCCTTCAGTACGAATCAGGCCAAAGTCCACCACGCTGGCCAAGTGCGAGTTGGCGGCCAAACAAACACACGAAAAAAAACACTTTTTTCTCTTTTATAATATTAGTATAAATTAAAATCCTCAAAAAATTGCGTTTATTCGGTCTCATAAACTATTGTATAAATTTTCAAACAGTTTTCAACAGAAAGAAGATGAATATTCTGAGAAGGTTATCGGACTATCATAAGTGCAAAAGTTTGTATGTATGTTTGTGTGTATTTGTTACTTTGGCCGAATTTGAATAAATTTATTTCCTTAGATAGGCTATTGTTAGATATCTATGAAACGCAGCCAAGCAAAGCAAGAATAAGTCACTAGTTATATTATAAAAGTTTAATCGCGTATGTAATATAATAAATAACGACCGTCCAAACAACTTCTGGTTTAATATCAATAACAGTTTAATGCACCGACGAAACGATTAATGACGTCAATCGATCATAAACTCCGAGTATAACTTGAGGATCTTCGTTGACTATAGAAATTCCTCGAACAATTATTATATGTATGATGCCAATATCTCAGAAACTATAAAACAAATCCACTTGGCAATAGTAACTTTACATTATATTTAACAGTAATAATCCTCAATTCTCGTTATTTGGAGTTTTAGAATTTGGTTTAGAGTACGATAATGCTTTCTCGAAACTTTTAATTTCTTCAGTAAACACGCGATTGTAGAATATTTTCATTTATTGCTCAGCTTTTTTCTACATTTTATATTTTTTTTAATGGCTGATGAAACGGATCTTGCCAATTTTTTCAGACTCAGACTTAATAATATAATAAAAATATTATTTTGGTTTTATATGTTGTGATGTGATGATTGATATATCGATACAAACTGACAGATACAAGGAAATTTTTGGAATTACTAAATATCATTTTAGGTTTCAACAAAATCCTACCACTAAATATTCAAATATACACTGATTTTGTATTAAATAAAGAAAGTTAAGAGCGATCGTTTTTTTTTATTTTATATAATCGACAGACAGGTATGTAATATTTGGTTTTATATAGGATTAGCGTATGTATAACAATAATATAAAGAAAAAGTTAGCACTCAGCTACGTTCAACATGTCGCTTTTGGCTCTTACTTACTCTGGTATTTTTTTTCAAACGTCCCAAAAGAAATATAATTTCAAAAATAAAAAAGTAAACATGCGCCTAAGAGTACCCTATATATTACTACAGGTCTATCTTTGTCGTGGTGAGAGTTCATAAGCGTCCGGCATCCCAGCCGGTCGTGAAGCTAAGAAACACAGTGGGAGGTGGCCTACTCCGGCGGGCGTGGAACCGTGCGGGTTGCTGCTGGTACTTCTCTGACAGAGAGATAACCGTTGGAGCATCCCCAAGGTTGTTGCGGTCTGCTTCGGCAGCCTGTCGTCAGGGCCGAGTGGTCGAGTGCGTAAACGATCCTGCAACGCCCCATTAAGACGGAGGAGGTTCTGTTGGGTTTTAGTGGGTAGTACTGGCTTTTCTAGCCGGTCAGTCTATTTGCATGCAGGTGGTATGAGTAAACTACGTACGCGTATGTCCCAACGATAGAAAAAGATTATACTCTATCTCTGTACTAAATAAATTTCATCAAAATCCATCAACATACACAAAAAACATAAAACCATTCATTATGATTTATAATACTAATCTGATTAGGGACACTCCTTATTTTTGACTAAAATTTATTTTGGCGGTTGCCATCTTTATAATTGTTTAGTCTGAAATATTTACCGACCAATCTCCTTCGTCTTCTCCATTCTACGTGACATTGGCAAAGGAATCTGTGATCAACTGGCACACTTTGAAGTCATTGACAAGAGAACTGAAGTGTATAGTCGGAAATAATGACTTACTTCTTTCCTTTTATCATCTTCTCCAGAGCCGTGCACTGTTGCTTCTGTAACGTCATCTTCTCTTTGGCGTGGCGTTTCTTCATAGCTTCTAGATCTTTCTGCTGCTTGCGTCCGGTTTTAACGAAGCCTTTCTCCTTTTGTAGGCTTTCTACTGTTATTGGCTCGAATACCAGCGGTTCTATTAAAGGCACAAAATTATTATTCAAATGTTATATTGCACAAAATACTTATTAAAATTTCTTACTATCTATCGTATTTTAATTAATGAAATATTAAATTGTATGCACATTTTATTAAATTTCAAATAAATAACATACATGAAACAAAGAATTGGACATTTTAAAGTTTCTTAAAGTTTTTTTAAAGTTTTTTTTTCGCTTTGTGATACTTAAGTTAAACCATTATTATCAACAGTTAAATGCATTGAAAATGGGGAAACTATCATGTTTTAATACTAAGTATCTAAGAAGATAGTTTCACATAAACAACATTTACTAATAAAATTAAAAATTAATTAGAGTAATAAAAAAAAAGAAAGAATGAACTCCTAGAACAGACCAGATATGGTTCTAACAAACAAATAAATAAATGTTTGCTATTAATTTTTATTTCATATAATATCTCATGTCACGGCGTTTGTGATCGCACACCTTCGAAACAGCTCGACCGATTTTAATGATTTTTTTTGTATATTTGGGAAGTATGAGATACGTCGTAAGGTATTTTTACACCCTCCTACCTCTACCCCCATTTTTAAATTAACTAGAGGCGAACCCGAGCGGAGCGAGGGTGAGTCGGTAGTATTTAAATAATATTTTTGAATTTAAAATTAACTTCTAACATTACCTTTATCTGTTCTTTCTGTTATTCTCCACATTTTAAATCACAGCACTCTCATACAAGAAACCGTTCATTCACTGTTTATCCCCCAGGTGTTAAAGAACTAAACTTCGCATTGAGAATGTTCAGATGAAATTAAATATAAAGCGAGAGTGAACGTTTGTTTGGTCGACGGTTGAAGTAATGTAGTGAGATGCGTAAGGCCAATCGACTGCTCTACCTAATGTCTATATACGAGATGAAAACCGCCGGATTCTGTGGTACATGTTATAAGTTGTAGCCATTTTTTGTTCATATTTGCTTATTTTTTAAAAGATTTTATTTACGCCATGTCACAATTCACGGTAACAGAAATAATAAATATAATATATTGAAAAGATTAAAATAATACTAAATCATTTTATACACTAGCACCACTATAAACCAGTTCATCTAAAAAGCTCTTTAATCAACCTTTGAAGTTTGATCATGATGGATTATATCAGAAAGTACTACACAGGATTGAAATTTTAAGTAAGCGTGATGGAAAAAAACTATAGGGGATGTGAAAAATATTTAGTCACGGACCAAAGATACTATTCCATAATCGTTCAAGAATAAAAATCTTAAAAAGTATATGGGATATACTAATGATATATTTTTTTTAATTTCTGTTCTTTAATCTACATCTTGTCTAATCCCTAGATTTGAGAAGACTTAAGTACTTATATCTATAACAAACATTTCATGCCTAGCCGGAAATCCAATCCGTTATTTCCAAAACGCACCGTAAAGTAAATTCTAGAGAGCACCCGCTAACCGCTATCACTTGCACCATTTCGATAAAGTTGGTACGAAAATATCGCTGTCATAGCGGAGCATTAGTCGGAGAATATTCCGAATGTAAATTATGGATTCGCGTCTATTTATGTTTCACATAACATAAACATTTGCGTTCACCTCAGTAGCTGGTATTTGTTGAAAACACAGGTTACAGGTCTTTATGAACTGCTACACACTACATGGCTATTACACGTTTAGATTCTAAAAATAAAAATCAAACTATCTTTTCGGATTATTTCACAGAATAGGTAAAACAATTCTGTGAATCATTTCGCGGATTTATTCAAATCGCGAAACAAATCGTCCTGACGTTTCAAATGCTTTACAGCAATCATGGTCACGGAAGAGACATGGTGGGAACCAAAAATCAAAATAAATCGGCGGAAAAATCCGAATAGATAGTTTTATTTAAAACGTCAAATATTCGCGTAAATCCAAGAAAGTATTAACAAAAATCAAATTATATACTTTGAATTTTTGTTGCTTTTAGAATGTTTATCCTACATATGTTAGGGCCATGGAAGAATTAGTGGTTAATTCGTTCATGGTTAGGGCCTATGCACATGACGAATTTTTAACGCACAATTGCTTGTATGGATACGAACGCTAGTATATGGATTTTTTAAGTCTATTTATAATCCAGTGATAACGCGCTCCTTTGGAAAACTAAGTGAAGCGGGATCAAATTACCACTTGTCTTACAGTGAAGGATAACATCGCGAGTAAACCTGTTTGAATGAACCTAGCAAATTTTCGAAAGACTAGCACCTGATCTCCCTCGTATTGAAGGGAGGAGAGACTTCACGTGGGAGTGGGAGTTTCACGTTCGTTACGGTCAAGTTTATATTGCATTATTATTATTATTAGGTATTTTATCACTTTGAAGAAAACTATTTATTACAATTTTTCACGGTTTAATTTTGGCTTTAGTTACGAGAAGCAAAAGCAAAAGTTTAATTTAAAAAAGACTTAATTCTAAGAAAGTCCTAATATCGTGACGTTATAATTATAAAATAAATTAAATAAGCATAAAAGTAACAAGCACCTATAATATAATATACCTATAAAAAACAGAATCTATATAACATGGAGAATATCCTTGAATGGAAAAATAAATGTGTTATGATTTAAAAAAAACTACATAAGAATTTATTTTCAGTCAGAAAAATGTACCGAACTATGCTTTACACGTATTTACTAGCAAAGTAACCTCGTATTTTAGGAAGTTAGAAATTCTCTATGTAATTGTGTCGAACATTGAATGTGGGCGGGTGTTATTATAAGAAACCGTGTTAGTATTTTAAATATTTGTTTATACGTTTTTTTCGCTTGTAAGAAGAATGTAAGAATGGATTTTAAAAGATGTAATAATGTATATGTATGTATGTACGTACTCAGCACCATCTAGTTCCATGATAAGCAACGAGGCCTGTGTTATGGATACCAGATACACTACACATATGTAGGTATATGACTTTAAATAAATACATACATACATATTATAAATATAAACACCCATGACTGGAGTACAAACATTCGTGCTCATCATACAAATGAACGCCCGTAGCGGGATTCGAACGATGGCACTAAAAACTAAGCCAAACGTGTCGACGTAATTAGAAAAAGGAAAATAAAAGGGGGTAAACTGAGGGTAGAAAATTTGTATGGGGAACCCATCTTAATTTAGGGGTATATTATTATAAATTGAATATTCATATTCATGCTTTTGGTGAGAAATGAGGAATGTTTCAACGTCGAGGGGTCAAGTAGGAACGAACCAGATCGAAGTGAGTATGCGTCACTTATATTTCTAATTTTCTATCAAATTTTCAAACACTCACAACAGTTAAGGACATCGCGTGTGAGTATTTGAATATGAATCTATATCAAAAATAAAATGGCGAAATCTGTTTTTAACAAATAGTTTAAATGACATTTGTTTTTAAATTCATAGCAACCCCCAACCGTCCACTGTGTAGATAAGACATATCCGAATCACTCTCTCTCTCTCTCACTCTCTCTCTCACTCTCTCTCCCACTCTGTCAGTCTCACCTTCCTTCTTCTCCTCCGCAGGTTTCTTCTCCGGGCCGCTCTCCTCGATGCCCATCTGCTTCATGTTGTCAGTACGCTCCTTGGCCGCGCCCATGAAGGCTCGCGGGTCGGAGAGAGCCGCCATGAAGTCTGTAAAGATTATAATTAGTTATTTATTTTATCCTTTACGAGCGACTCACCCTCGTTTTGCTCGGGTTCGCCTCTAGGCAAACAAAAACAAATCTATCCCACGGAAACCATACATTTTTCCTATATTATTGTAAAGTTACATTAAAATCCAATTAGTAGTTTTTGTGTACCCTAAGCTTTATAAGTTACTATAGTTTTTTAGCTATCCAACGGGAACTCTTTAATTTTCCGAAATGAAAAGTATCTAAAATGTTTACCGGGGATATAAGGTACTTCTATACAAAATTTCATTAAAATCGGCCCAATAGTTTCGGAGATTAGTCCGTAGAAACAGACAAAAAGACAGAGAAACAAAAAAATTAAAAAAAAACTGGATTTGTTTTATTTCTCTTCTAACATCCCCCTGACTCGGTTTTTAGCATTTTTTTCTATGTACAGGCATTCGACCTTTATAGTTTTAGGTATTATATGTATAGATTATCTTAAGATAAAAAGTTAGATATATTTACTTAAGGATGTAAAGGTAGTTTCATACATTAGTTAGTATTTTTGGAGAATTCATTATAAAACGTGTATGTTGAATGTTTAAGAATATTTTAAATCTGAAACTAGGATGTATGAGCTTCTTTCTTATTTTGCTTTAAAATTTATTTTTTAAGTTTTAAATTTGCTTCGAAGATTTCTGTACTTAACCCAAGTTTTTTTTAAAGTTTGTTAGTCGCTCTTATTTCAAACTCACACGACTAGGCGCACGTAATTGTACATAGCATATGTAGTGCGAACAGTGTACATAATATACATAGTGTATAATGTCTTGTGTACATAGTGTTTATAGTGCATGTAATGTGATAGTGTACATCGCGCATACCCTCAAAGCCATCAGGCACGTATATCTTGAGCTCGATGTTGCAGAAGAGCATGGGCAGCGACATGGGGAAGTTGGCCTCCGTGCGCAGCGAGATGTGCCGGTAGCCCGCCTGCAGCCCGTCCAGCGGCAGGATGCGCTGCCCCAGCAGCTTGCCGCTCTCGTCGTACACGCCGAACCGCAGCACCGCCAGGTCCGGCAGCACCACCTGCGTACACCGCGCCAACGTCACGTCACCATCGTTGCTGATCAATATCAGACACTTCAATTTTATTTATCTGTATAGATGTCAAATACTCGCGTAAATGCACGGAGGTATTACATAATTTAAACCCCGGACCAGTTCAAAATTACACCACCGGATAATTTATATATATTTAACGTTTAGTATAGATTTCTCAGAGATGAGTTATTTTCCCGCAATAAAAAGTATCCTATATGTTAACCCGGATAACCAGCTACCATCATACCAAATTTCATCCAAATCTGTCCAGTGATTTTCTCGTGACGCGTTCCCAGACAGACAAAAATTCTAAAAACTATAAATTCGGCCTCTGTACCAATAATAATTACTATTCTAATTAGATTTTCCAAAAAAATATTTAATGTACACATTCGACTCAGTTACAATTTTATTATATCTATAGTATATAAGTTAATATACAATTTTTGAGAATAAAATATGACTTAATCTCCCATGTAGTAAAGGCTCTTGCCCAGCAATGGGACGTTAAAAAAAGGACTTAAACGTACCTTACGAAACAAGAAAGGCTCTTCATTATACACAGGATTGAGTCCGTTAGCGGGCACCATGCGTGTGCGGAACTCCTTACGGATGGTGTCGGAGGGCAGCCCGTACATATCCACCTCCACGTAAGTACCCACTTTCTTATCTGATAAGAACTGTCCGGCTATCACCTGTAGAAGTGATTGTGACTTCATGATATAATATTAAATCACAACAATGGATATAAAATTAAATTATTATATTTTAAATTAACATATATAGAATTACCATGATGTAGCTTTTCATTAAATAGCATAAAACTAGGTTTACCATTGACGAAGATATTAATAAAGGTTAGACTAGATAACTATGTGCCCCCCCAACGTGCGTTCACCTTGTCGTGGTGGGGGGGCTCAGTAGTGCCCGGCAATCCAACCGGGCGCGAAGCTAAGAAACGCACAGGGAGGTTGCCCACTTCGGTGGGCGGTGGGAGGTGGCCCTCTTCGGAGGGCGGTGTACCATGCGGGTTGCTCCTGGTACTTCTCTGATAGCAGAGTGGACTGTGGAGCAACCCCATGGTTGTGGTGGTCTGCTTCGGCAGACCTGCCGTCGGGGCGTCGTAGTTGAATGCGCAAGCGATCCTGCGACGCCCCATTAAGGCGGGGGAAGGTTTTGTTGGGTTTTAGTGGGTAGTACTGGCTGTATTACGCCGGTGAGTCCCACACGTCGTGCGTAAATGCATTTCCCAACGTTAAAAAAAAAAAAAAGATAACTATGTGAGCAAAATGTTACAAATAGATTTTAGCCGTTTTTTTTGCTGCTAACGCTACCTACCATAGAGTCTCATATAACCATACAGATGAGACTCAGGCTAGGCTGGCCAGAAAAGCCAGTACTATACACTAAACTAAGCTAACTCTTACCTACAGCCATTACCCATCAAGTCATCAACCTTAAAATCGTTTCCCCATTGTCATATAAATAGTATGATAGTCGGGGAGCACTTCAATGGGGAAGAATTTTGCTTTTTTCTCCCGCCAGGTGTCGCGATCACTATAGCCCTAATTATATTGTACAGCTCTAAAGCGTGGATGGATTTTTTCATTTTATTTAAAATTTAATTATAATGACAAATTGTACAGCGTCGGGATGCACAGAAAATGGATATAATTTGTTCCCAATATATAAGAAATACGTCCTTTAAATATCACGTTTCTACGACTACGGTTTATGCTGTGTGTTGATCCAGCATTCAGTCGGGACCACCGCAGGATGCACCTCTCCTTCTCAATTCTTCCTTTAGCTGGTCTAACTGCCAGGTACAGAAGAGATATCATAATAAATTGCTTAACCCCAAACTGAATCTATATAGGCGATATGTGTGGCGCCCTTTCGAGAATTCTTCCCCGTTGGATCTCGCCTTGTCTAGACGAAATTAGAATACTACTAACACCATCTATTGATTCAAACGTAGCAACATGGTGTACTGCACCTGCACGGCGCACTGGGCCGCGATGACGCCGTCCACCGGCGCGTCGGCGAAGGGGTCGAAGCTTCGGTCGGCACGCCGCATGAAGTCCGGCTTCAGCAAGTACCCGCAGTTGCCGTTGTACTCGAACTTGCCCTGATTTAGCTGCATCGGTAGGTCTGAGGTCTGGAAGTTCAGCGAGACCATCTGGCAGCCCGCATTCCAGAACACCTGAGGAATGAATGGATAATTAATTCAATTCAATTCTATAGTTTCATGGGTTTTAGGACTGCCGTTTGGGCAAAATTTACTTCGCCAATGTCGCTTAGAAATTGATATTTATATGTATATGTGATACATACCTACCAATGTCAGTATGGACAGCTTAAAGTACCTTTATATAGAATACATAAAAGTTTTATCATAGCGTGTTTTCCTTTGGGAAAGATATGAGGAGTAAAAAGTAGCTTATATCTCTCTCGAGCCCTTCCAACTATCTTCGTTGTAAGGTTACATCAATCCATTGTTTCATTTGAAAATGTTTTGGATTCCCTCATCATTTCCTGCATCTCGACAAGATTTATTACAGAATATTAATAATATATATTTTAGCTACAAGCCTTTTAGAATACATCATTATACAAAATACAAACGTACTGATTGTATACATAGTAATAATAACACCGGTTATTAGTTGAACTTTTGATTTGCAAGAAAATATATTTATGCGTATTATTTTAGAGACTGTGTTAGCTCAGTGGTAATGCGCTCGATTTGAAAACCGAGTAAAGCGAGTTCAAGTTCCCGGTGCCGCACCTCTGATATTTTCATGTGCAATTCATTTCCAAAATAATTGTACAAAACACAAAACAAAACACTTGTCTTACGGCGAAGGAAAACATCGTGAGGAAACATTTTGAAATAGCTGAAATTTGTAGAAAGCAAAAAAAATACAATACCTGTGGCATATAATTAGAGGAGTCTGCTCGAGTTCCCTTGGGATATATACGGGACATCTGCCGCTTGTTGTAGTTGACGAAGTCGATGGCTTGGGACTTGAGGTAGTTCATGCCGGTGGTCTCCGCGAACGATGACATGTTGTGATGGATGTTCTTTTCTAAATATGTAATAGAATATTTTTTTAGGTTTGGTCGTTTGTTTTGGTAATGAGAACGTATACTTGTATCATATTGAAGAAGATTAATTATCATTAATAACGTAGACTGTTTTAAAATAAATTTTACAGGTGTTTTTTTTTTCAAATATTTGGCCACGCGTGATAAATTTACACAGGTGTACTCAATAAATAACGAATCGTGGATTAGGCCTAGTGGGGATACCATATGAAAAAACGCGCCTCCGTTCTATCTTATGGTGGTGCGGAAATGAGTTTAAAAAACGGTAGTACAGATAAAGTAATCGGTTTATACTAAAATTTCGAGATTTTGTGATTTGTAAAAATTACCTGAGCTTCACTTAGCTTTAATTCCTGAACTATTTATCTAATCAAAAATTTGTCAGTTAAAAGTTGAAGGAAATTTCATGCTCAATAATTTTTGTAACGACTATTTATAACCTACATGACGCTGAACAGAAGTTATTCCTGAAAAAATGGTTTTAGGTGCCATTTTTCCAATATGGCGGTGCGAGCGGCGGTCGCTCAAGGCCGCAAATTCGGACCATTAATTAGACCCTAAACCGTAACACTCTGCCAAATGCATACACGTCACAAACCCACAAACTTTATCTCTTTATAATATGGATAGTACAGATACAGAATAGTATAGATACAGAATAGACAACTCACTCTCAGCCTCCTCGAAGCTCTGGAACTTGACGGGCTGCGCGTAGTTGACCATGGACGAAAGCCACGGGTGCACGTTGGTGGTGGAGCCCGTGTACTGCACCGGCGGCGGCGCGTCGCCCTCCGCGCCCGTTGCCGCCGCCGCCACCTCCGGGACTATCTCTTCTACCTGGGGATACATATAAATAAATATCTTGGGACATACACATAGCACCATCTAGTTCCATTGGTAAGCTACGAAGCTTGTGTTATGGATACCAGATAGTTGATATACTACACATATATAACTTTAAATAAATACATAATATAAATATAAACACCCATGACTGGAGTACAAACATTCCTGCTCATCACACAAATGAATGTCTTCAGCGGGACTCGAACCCACGACTGCTGGCACAGCAAGTAGGGGCACTACAAACTACGTCAATTGTTTCGTCGTAGACAAGGCTAGAGATAGAATAGACCATATAATCGTTCTGGATGGGGATTGAATATACTAGTCTTTCTACAATGGCTAGAGAGAGAACAGACAAAACAGCAATCGTTCTGAATGGAGATGGGGTAGAATAAATAAGTCTTTCTACAATCGTTGAAGGATAGATATCTAAAAAATGATTCTAGGACTATCTCATCTCGCTTAAAATAGGATAGACATAAGAGAAGATGTTCTGCAATCGTTGGAAAATAGACATTTTCATCACTCTCTCCTCTGCTAGAAATAGAAGAGAATACACAAATGGACAAATCATTCTAGTATAGAATAAACAAAAAGCCAAGTTTGTCTACAATCGTTGGAGAATATACATTAAAATAACCCTGATATTCTTGTAAGATTGGGTTAAAGGGTCCGTTGTTTTAATGTCTTGAACAAAATTGTACTAACACTAGCGTCTTAACTTCGCTTTATAGGGAGTCCCTAAAGTGCCAAACAGTGGCATTTATGTTACTCCATACCGGTCATAGTCTTTCTGTGTACAATATTTTACCTAAATCCGTCAACAAACATTCACACATACAAATTTCGAGTATTCAATTTATTATTTCAACTTTAAGAATATTATTTATTATATAAACTTTATGAATATGCTCAACTTTAGTTAACGTACAAAGACCTCTCGTTGTCGTACTCGTACTTACACAAATCATAGCATATTATTTCGTAATTCCTATTAATCTAACAATGTGTCAAACCTTTTTCTCCGGCAAGACCACAGCTGAGGCGTCTTCCTTCACCTCGTCCTCAATGACGAACTGTCCTTGGCGGAACAGCTCTAACTCCTGCTTCTCTACTTCTGGCTTTAGACGTTTGTTCTTGATCATGATCTTCCGTTTTAGCAAACATGGCGGCGGTAATGGCTGGCCGGGTTCTAGCTGGAAATTTAATTGGAGATGGGAATTATTTTGGCTATTAGTGAATAAATAGGCAATCTTCACATTAATTGTGAAATTGTATTGTAATTGCAAATTAATATATAATTTTTGAAAAAAATTAATAGATAGCCTACGGTTATATTATATAACAAAATTGACGAACTTATTATGGTTCCAAGAATTAACAAATATTTTTTGCAAACGTACCAAAAGAAGTATAACTTCATAAATTGTGTTATAAACTGACTAAAGCAAAAACTTACAGGATATTCAGGCAACGGCTCCTTCAAGAGTAAATCTCCAAGAATTTCATCACAGTATTTGGCTAGTTTGTATTGCTGGGCTTTACAGCAATGGTTTTCAAAGGACAATATCACAGGATAGTCAGAGGCCACGAAGGCTGTGTCACGTAATGCGTATATGACGTCTTTGAATAAGATATCAGTGCACATCGCCATCCCGTGGGTTATGATTGGTTCTTCATCTTCACCTTTGCCGTCCCAACAGTCGAGTTCTACGCATCTGGACATTTAAAATATATTTTAAAAACAAACTATATATATGTAAATGTAAAGTGTGTATGACTGTCACTAAATGAATGACAATTTTTTTTGATAAGAAATAATTTATGGAGCTATATAGTATAGTTTTAACATATAAATTAAGTTATAGGTTATAGTGTCAAAAATGTATTTTGGAAAGATTTGATTTGTATAGAATTTACAAAGTGAGTTTTTAAAAATTGTATGTTTTTGTTATTAATTATTAAAACAAAATCCCGTTTAAACTTGAAAATTAAAAATGAACGTAATTGTTAGTAATTATACTAAAACCAATACTAAAAAGTTAATTTGAATTAATATAAAACCTTTTATGTTAAAAAGGTTAATATGTAATTCATCTACTTACCGACACCCAGCTAGAAGCACCTGTCGGTACATTTCTACAGAACTTTTGCCACCAAACTGTCTCCCCGATAGATAAGTGTTGTGGGATGAATTGATGTAATAATGAGATAAAGGCTGGTCCATTTCCATATAAAAATCCAGGCGATCGAGGAACACAGGTGCGTTTTCATCTGACATTAGGTATCGAACTAAGCCATCTTTTGTGAGACATTCTGTAAAGGAAGTAATTGTTATGTCAACATTTAAAAATGGTTACGTTTTTTCATATAGCGTTATAAGATTCATAGTTATAGCAAAGCTCGCATTTATTTATGTACGTATGATTTTTTAAGCTATTGCATAGCTTCTATCGCGGGTCTTGAGCGTGGGGACCGAATCCAGAAATTCCTTAACGAAAAAACCCTGACACCCCCCACTCCGACCGGCACAGCGGTGATACTTCCATCTATCGATAAATACCAGAACTTTTAATGACTTTTTGAAATATCACGCTTGTCTCTTTAGTTCAGCAACCCGCCTTTATGTGGCATTGGTTGTTTTGGAATACTACCGTAATCAGCTGTTTGTGAGAAAGTATATAGGTGTATAGGTATTTATCATCTATGTACAACAGTGAATATCTATACTCGTATAATTTGTGTACAAAGTGTTTTAAATATGAATAAACAAAGTGCATTTATTAATGAAGAAAGTCAAGGAAAAAAATACTGCATTAATAAAATAAATAAATAATTATAATTGCATAAGTTGATAAAAAATGCTATGCAATAGCTTTACCGCGGCAGTCTCCGAGTGCCATTTTTCAATTTTTTTACTTTTTCGGTTTCTAGCTTCCTTTTTTACCATCGGACATAGGACTTTTATCTCAGAAATCATCGCTTAAGGAGTCGAAAATGGGGATGAAAGTTTGTATTGGAAAGCAGTAGTTATCAATAAAACGTAACTTACTAGTACTTTTAGCTTCTTCATCTTGTTCATAATCAGTGATGATTTCGAGGGCTCGCTTGTCGTCGTACAATGGATACAAGATTTCATTGAGTCGTGGGTCACGCTGCTTTTCATTTAGGAAGTTCACAAATTGTTCTAAGTTGATTCGATCTGATTTGCCTTGAGTTCTGAAATGTTTCATTAAAATTATATAAGCCTCTGAATAAGTTATTTATTGAGCCAGACCTAGTTTAATTATTTAAAAAAATATACTTATATAAACTAAGTTAGGTCACAGATTGAATTTGAGCAGAAGACCAGTTTTCTATTTAAAGCATTTTGACATCTTTACTTAATATTAATAACAAAAAAAAATATACAGAAAGGTAAACAGAGTGGTAAAATTATAATTCAGTTACGTTAATTTTATTATTTTAATAAACTAGCTGTAAGAAACGAGGTGTCACTCACATAGTCCTGAAAAGCTCTTCAATGTCGTTTCTGGGGCAGATTTTGTGATATAAAGCGTAAAATTTGTCGAATGTGAAAGCTTCTTTATCCATAGATTCATTTTTGCCGGAAGGCAGACCCAGTTCTGATAAACATTGATATACCAATTTTTCCGTTTTTCCTGATGCGAAGGTTTTACTCACTACTTTTACTGGGACTTTCCCTTTAGGATCCACTAAGAACGATAGACGCATCCAACTAAAAAAGATAATGATTTATATTATATTTACTTATGAATACTTGCGTTAGTTACTGTTAAGTATAAAAAAACAAACTACGGGTACCCGCGACCATGGCGCTTGCAACAGTGCCGAAATATCGGGAACTCACAAAAGTAAGTGCTAAACATGGTAAATATCTCGATTCAAATTACAATAATATTGTCAGTGACTATGAAAGTTTCAAGACTATAAGTATATAATAAAACAAAGTTGCTATATAAGTGGTCTGTTTTTGCGAAGAGTTCTTCTAAACTACGCGACATATTTTGATAATGTTTTTACTATCACTTAGACAGTTTCTTACGAAAGGTTTATATGGAAAAAAAATCGATGTTTTCCAATTAATTCGTCAGTTCTGGGATTAACGAGAGCCATTACGTGTAAATTAGAAACATCATACAAAAAATATAGAATAAAGGACAGTAACACACACTTCAAACGATACAATTTAAATTTCATGTTTCTTTTAAATCAGCTTACATTTTAATCGTAATATAAATGAATGATGTATACAATATTTTACTATACATATTTATTAAACCCAAATGTTTATCTTCTACTGGTTATGTGAGGGGTCGCTGGTGTGATTCTTGCATAAAACAATTAAAGGCAATATGACTAGAAATTTAATTTAATTTTCAGTTTATTTAATACTTATTTATTATTAGTCTTAGTCGTATGGCGACATTTGTATCATGTATTGGTTACAATAATTGGTTTATTAGAGAAAATATACTTATTGATAAATTTCATTTAAAATTATACGGATATTATATGGAAAGCAGACTATTTCTCTATTTATTGTAAAAAATAAATATATTTTTCACTACAAAAAGCTTACAAAGAGACTTATATATTTTATAAAAAATTTACTAATTACTTTTAATTAAAACTACGCAATAAGCTAAATTATAAAATAAGGTGTGCATAGCATGCATATATAAGGGAATATGAGGTAATATTCAAAATAATAAAATCTAATTCATGTATATCTATGTTAGAAAAAAAGATGTCGATTTTTATAGAGCTATATAATACGAAGACTTTCTACTAGATATTGATATTTTCTTTTATTTATAAATACTAATACTTTCTTTTTACACTAATAGGTATATGACATCCATACTTGAATATCCATACTAATATTATAAATCTGAAAGTGTGTTTGTTTGTTTGTTTGTTTGTTTGTTTGTTTGTTTGTTTGTTTGTTTGTTTGTTTGTCCTTCTTTCACGTCAAAACGGAGTGACGGATTGGCGTGAGTTTGTGTGGCGATAGTTGGAGGGAGATTATCTAATTCCCACGGGAAAACACGTAATAATACAATCCAAAAAAATATTTATGATCAGAATTGCTTGAAACTTGGTATTAATGCTCTTCAATAAAATTAAATAAATACGTGTTTAAGCATTTTTCGAAATTCGTCCTACAAGGGGGTAAAATAGTGGATGAAAGTTTGTATGAAACTACGTTTTCAGTTTTTTTATAGTTTTAGCGCGAGCGAAGCCGCGGGTTCTGCTAGTTTTAAATAAAACTATCTTTTCGGATTTTTTACAATTCGGACTTCGGAATCAAAAATCTAAAAAAATCCGCGAAAAAATTATATATTATAGTTTTATTTATACGAGTAATTACTATTCATTTATAGGTGTCATCAGGTGCAAAGCTGAGTTAAAGCCCGCATTTATTTAAAGGCCACCAAGCTTTAGTAACAATTACAATGGAATACTAAAATATATTTATAAAGATTACAATTAACCAGTCCATCATTGTTTCTCTCCCCTAGTACATTATACAAATTTCTCTAAATAAATGAAAACAAAGAAAAGAAAGTTTAATTCCATCTATCAAAAAGTATTATTCTTTGTTTATCGTAGAATCTTGAAGCCTATCAAAACATAAATATTCAAATGTTAAAGGCCTAATTAGTGTTAATTAAAGTAAATGAAGGTGCAAAAGTATACGATGACACGTTTGGTTCTGTTTATAGTAACCTTACTTGCTATGCCAGCGGTTGCGGGTTTGAGTCCCGCTGGGGATATTCATTTGTGTGATGAGCACGAATGTTTGTATTCCAGTCATGGGTGTTTATATTTATAGTACGTGTGTATTTATGTAGTGTATCAACTATCTGGTATCCATAACACTGGCCTCGTAGCTTACCATGGAACTAGATGTGCTGTGTGTTAATGTCTCAACAACATAATGTATATATATTTCTATTTTCTATTTACATAAGTAACTGTCTTATAGTAATACCAACATGCACTAAGTGAAAATTTTTAGAAAAATCGAATTAAGTAGGTACCAACCTTTTCTTTTTTTAAAGTCGGTAAAAAGTATTTTGTACGTGCAGTATCGTGTTAAGCGTCCATATTAATTAGTAAACACCATGTCACAGAGGCGTTTACAAGAAAACCGCGTGGGCGAGAATGGTAATGTTATAATAACATTACCGTGGCGTTACGGCCATACGTTATCATTCGAAGGGGGAGTGTCGCATGAGCTTATTGCTCACTACAATATGAATGTGATATTCGCGTTTATAGGCGTTCATTTTTTCACAAACAACAAACAATGCCGCTAGCAATTAACCATTTATATATAAAAACATCGTTTTAACAAAAAAATCTATTTATTAATAAAAAAGGTCAAGATAATTATAAAAGAAAAAAAATGAAGTATAAAATAAATATATTTCTATCCTTTCTATTTTTTTAAGTTTTATTAAATAAAATCACTATAGCAGCTACTTTATAGCAAGAAAGTGACATTTTTAAGACTATTTACGATTTATTGCTACTTGGACAACTTTATATGATGCCATTGCTTTCCCCATAAAGCTGAAGCAAGAATGCACATTCGATATTCATCTAAAGGAATTTTTCAAATAAAATCTATTTCTGCTTCTATGTTATATCTACGAACTCCAAACTCTAAACTTTATCATATTTTAGTTTAGTTTAGTTGAAGTTTCCCCACAATTTCATACTCTAAAATCTCATATATAAGTAAAATTATATATCAAATCATTAATATCAATTACTAAACAATGGTTGCTAATTAATTACGCACACGTGTAGTAAACCAAGTGAAACGAATTCAAACCCGAGTTTCACACCTGAGGTCTTCAGATAATTATCTTGTTTTCAATATGATTACCACTTGTTATTATCGTTAAATAATATATCATATAGAAGTCTTGTTATGATCATTGATCACGTTTGATAAAACCTAAGTAAACACGTATTTGATCAACGTGGAGCTATGCCCTGTTCCTCTATCGTCTCAGGAAGCCCATGCTTAGCAGTGGGAGTTTAAGTAGGGTGACCTGTTGGATTATTATTATTATTAATAGAATAATATTATTAATATTCAGCCCACTGCTGGGCACGGGTTTCTCTTCAATTCGAATGGGATCAGGTCATAGTTCACCACGCTGGCCAAGTGCGGGCGGACTTCACATGTCTAACGAAAACTCGCTAGATTCTCTCAGACATGCAGATTTCCTCAAGATGTTTTCCTTTACCGTAAGACAAGTGGTGATGTTGGAATGATTCACACATGAAAATCATCAGATATGCAAGACCCGGGATTTGATCCCGCTTCACTCGGTTTCTCAAGCGAGCGCGTTACCACTGGGCTCCCACTGCCCAGCCCGCCCATATTATTATTATTACAAAGAATAACAAGATCTTTGGGTTAAAGGGCCGCCTTATAGGTACTAATCAAAGTTACATTACACTTACTAATCTAAATCTAAATTAGGACTAAGGGCGGATAGACGTAAGGGTGTTAAACCCTACGAAAAGGAATATTAGCACTATAACAGCATAAACTATCTCCCATTATAAATCCAGACGTCCTATCCTAGACATTGAGAAATAGTTCTAAGTTTATTACACTGTTGTTCAAGCACATGGTGTATCAACGATTTATTATAGTTAAATAAAAACTTTATGTCTCGTCGACTTATTCCGAAGATTAATATTTGCTTTATTACTTTGAAAGTCCCGAAATAAATACATATAATGGTTGACTAAGTCTCATGTTAGTTCACAGTGTAACTAAGAAAGGTTTTTATTATTTTTAGACTTTAAAAATATTTAAGTCGATAGTACGAGTAGTTTTAGCTATTATTCTGTAGCAAATTAAAGCAGCGCATACGCGGCGTATAATTGTATTTAAAAAAATTAACATACTTATTAAGAGGAAAATGAAAAATGGCCTGAAACCATTGAATAACATATTTATTTTACAACTTAAAAAAATGTTAGTTCGAAATGTTTACAAAGCCCTTTCATGAAATGACTTACATCTCAGTATGATACATGATGTGCGAAGCTATTGTATTAAATATAGACATACTTTTCCAAAATATAGCAATACTACTGACAGCTATACAAATGTTATTTCTATTTTATTTAAAACGAATCATTATAAAAGTCATCTTCTATTTATATGTATATCTTACAAGGCTAATAGATTTTTTTTACCTAAAATACACTTTATGATATATGCTTATTATAAATGGTTATATGTTTGTTTGTTATCTCTTATTGCCTATTAGAAAGATAAAAGCTCATAATATCGTAAGGCCTAAAATTCGTAAATTAAAGAGCTATACAAAGCCAGGGGTAGTCGATAGTGAAGTTGGCATATAATATCTTACTAATATTATTAGTGTGTGACTTTAGATGAATGTTTGGATGTTTGTTGCTCATCATGCCAGAACGACTGAACAGATCTGGATGAAATTTGGCACAGAGATAGATTATAGTACATAGGCTACTTTTTATTTCGGTAAAATACACGGATCTCGTGGGATAGATTAGTAGCATATGTATGATTATATACGAATATATATATTCACAATACTAGCTTTCTCTACACAAGTCGAGCTTTACAAAACTTTAGGTACGTACTGCTTCATAAGATTCGTTCTTGGACAGGCGTTGTTTATTTTGTTGTTATGAGTTATGGCGCGGAGGGACTCCTTCCATACCTTCAAGTAATGAGTAAATAATAAGTAAATTCAAGGTTTTGATATATATGAATTTTAGAAATAAGCGTCTTTTATAGTATAATTTTCATAATTTATTTTCCTGCAATATATCAACATGTAAAAAAAAACTTATTATATGGAATACCTAATACCTGATAACCGCTAAGCGCCATCTTAAAAAAATAATAATAATGATGCACAAGTCTTTATAAAACATCAATTTGGTTTACAAAACAATAAAATATGAGAGAGTTCATGATTAAATAGTTTTTATTTAAAATAAACCGCTTTAAATAAACACTCTAAAATAGGAATGACTCTATTTGAATAAATTTAAATTTTATAACAAAATGTTTTATTGAAACTTTATTTACAGGCAACACTGTCGCCTTTCAATTTTATTCACGGAAAGTTTTCATTGGATTTGCATGTTAGGTCCGGACACCCAAACCTCACAATATACCTATGAACCTATTTGCTTCATCTTGAATTTTAAATATAAATAAATAGAATGATTCATAGAAAAAGTTACACACGCTATGTAAAAATTAGTAAAAAAATAACCTAAAAATGTATTACTGTATCTGAAAATATTGTTTTTGTGGTTAGTTTACACTTCTCGTAAACGAAACTGGACGTACTTGTATATTTTAGAACAATATTATTGTTCAGTTACAACAACGCTACACGTTGAAAATTTACTTTACACTAAAAGCATTTATAAAACGTACATATACATAAAAAAAGCTCTCGTGTTGTCCATTTACAAAATAAGTCTTAGTTATAAGTTTAGAGTATAATGGGTATAAGGTGGTTGGAGTATAAGATGTGTGTTGTGTCTTTCGTTTTAGTGGTGACGGATAAACCGATCGTTGTGTTTTTTTCTTGCAACGGGATGTTTTGTAGGTCAGAGTATATATTTTTATGCTTGTATGTCGTGTAGTACTCATTGGACTAATAGGTATATAGAATAATATAAGAGTACTTCAAAATCACTTGTGAGTTACTAGCGACTCACCCTCGCTCCGCTCGGGTATGTCCCTACTTACGTTTTAACGTTTAGTATAGATTTTTTAGAGATATTTTCCCGCAGTAGAAAGAATCCTATATATAAACCCGGATAACCAGCTATAATCATAGCAAATTTCATAAATATCTGTCCAGTGGTTTTCTCGTGATGCGGTAACAGACAGACAGACAAAAATTCTAAAAAGTATAGGATATAAATACATAAAAATTCTTTTTTATATACAATTACGAAACACGACACATTGAAACGACATGTGAAAATATAAATCCCCAACCTCACATGCTCATTAGAATTGCTAAATTATGAATTCGTCTCCCAAACGGAAATCAGAATTAACATCGGAATTCAAATAAAATAAGCTAATCGGTTTTTTTTACAGTAAAAAGTTTCAAACGAGCATGGGTTTTTGGAATGGCCAATATTCTATGCACTTAATATATACTTTAAATCTCTTAATTTTCCTAATTAATAACTTAAATTTTAAATGAAAACTCTAATTATTCTATATCGAATGAATTGCGGCAAGGTCGACAATAATATTATATCTATTATCTATACATATAATAAAATTGTAACTAAGCCGAATCTGTACATTAAATATTTTTTGGAAAATCTTATTGAAATAAACATTATTATCCATATAGAAGCCGAATCTATAGTTTTTAGAATTTTGTCTGTCTGTCTGTTACCGCATCACAGAAAAACCACAAGAGGGATTTTGATGAAATTTGGTATTGTGATAGCTGGTTATCCGGGTAAACATATAAGATACTTTTTACCGAGGAAAAATATCTTATTTCTGAGAAAAAATACGAAAACTGTAATTTAAGAGTATACTAATATGTAAAACCTTAGAATTTGGTTTTTGATCATTTGAACGCGGGCGGAGGCGCGGGCAATGCATAATTTGCTTACTTTGAATAGAACTACTATATACATTCAGTAAGTTATGATTGATATGTGTGTAAGTATATATATGTATAAATGTATGTATGTATGTATGTATGTAGATATAGTTTATTTAAAAAAAAACCTCATCAACTAAATATTTATTTTGGAAATGGACAACCCTGACACCATAAATAAATAAAAAATTAGTACATGCAAATAACGCCTAGTTATTAGTGACATGCAAAATATTGTAAGCACCCATCGACCACAAACTTACTGCTTCTTTAGACACGTCATTGGGCACACGTTGTTTGCCTTCACATTGTGCGTGATCTTTCTTAGTCCTTGTAACCAAACCTTTATAAATGAAATTAAAATTTTATCCTTAAATTACTTATACACTCAAATCCATCTGATATAAATGCGATGTCTGTTTTTCTTTCCCTTTTAGCAGGTAAATAGCTAAACCGTTTGTGATATAACTTTGCATAAAGGAACTATATTATGGAATACGTCATAATTCTTATTTCGGCGAAAATAAAAATTTAGGTTGAACCTATAACTTATTATATTAAAATACAGTAAAATATTATGAAAGGCACATTTTTTTATAGATTTTAGTCAATTTTACGAGCCTAATGTGATAATAACCTTTAAAAGACAAAAAGCTTTTGCGGGACATTTTATATTAAAAGGGAAGAACACAATCTTATTTACTTCATAAAATACTTACATTAGCGGTGTCCGCGTCCGGACAGACGACGTGTTGGTAATTTATGTTGATATAGTCCGTGCCACTGCATATAGTTAACGATTTTTCTTCTAAGTTATTGCCATGTTTTTTTTCTAATTTGTCATTTAGCTTGGCATCCTGAAACAAATTGTACTGGTTTTATGTTTGCTCAAGTACGTACCTATAAGACAGTTGTGTTTTCAAGATCGGTTAAATTTCAACAATTTTGTTATGTTTCATTTGCCAAATAGAGGCTAAATTCTGACACTATTTCAATGAAGCAAATATGGTCCATTTAATTTTCTTGTAACTGACTTTTATTGTACAAGAAATTTATTAACCATGACAAAAATAGGGTAGTTTTCGAAAAGGAGCTGTAGAATAAGATTTATTTAATCAATACCTAAATAAGGCTTATGCAAAATTATATAAGTTACTATATAACTTGCAAAATTGTAGCTTAAGATAATTTGAAAATATTTAGTAAATAATTTTTCATACTTTTAAAATGAAAATTTCAAATTTTTTACATTTACATTCTTGATTTACAATCTTTTTTAACACCTCCAGGTAAATTTCTAAGAAATTAATTAAAATTCTAAGAAATCTAATAGGTTTTTTAAATAAAAAAAAAACAATGCATTGTAATTCAAAAAAACTCTCGAAAGTGTTATCTGATTTTGATTATATGTGATTCTCATTGGAAATACACATATTTTAGATAAATCTAAAATTCATATTATCTCAACGTTTTTAGTACAGGGTCACAGAATTAACAGGGGACGAGGTGATTCTACATTTGCTTTCGCTAGCAAAAAGTCTAAACGATATATATACATATTTAAACTTTATATAACACTAACGATTCACCCTTGCTTCGCTCGGGTTCCTCCCTATGATTATATATAATATATATAGTTTTACAATAATCTATGGAAGTCTGCCCGATTTGTTGACATTTATGATTACTGCTCCGCTCCCTTGGGTAGTGGCATGATGATATATAACCTATAGCCTTCCTCAACAAACAGGCTATCCAATGCAAAAAGGATTTTTCAAATCGGATTAAGAGTTTCTGAGACAAGCGCGTTTAAATGAACAAACAAACAAGCTCTGCCTCTCCATAATATAGATTGGAGCTAGACAAGATGTATTTCTATATGAAGCATAGAAACTAAATATTGTACTGATGTGACAAAAATCGTTTTTTTTTGCATTGTATTATTTTGATTATATTACATATTTGATTGAATTAATTTGTACATACTCGTATTATTATCACAATATAATAATATATTAACATTATATTGTTTTTATTTTTAATTCTATTCGTCAACGATTAGAGAATGACCTCTTTTCTAAGCCTCGTTGTTAGAATATGTAATTTTCGTATGCTTTCATTAGACACATGGATTGTAAAGATCGATTTTCCTAGGGGGGCGGATGAGATTAATGTCACTCGATGTAACGTTACCAGTTTATATTTAGACAGTAGTCTGTCCATTTATCATTGACACCCTAAATATGTGTGTATATATTATTTTATAAAATAACCTAAAAAGTTATGTTTCAAATAGGTTTTAATTAAAGCAAAAATTTAATTTTTTAAATCATCGTCTCAATGTATATTTGTCCAAATGACAAATTTATCGAAAGAGTTTTAAATACAGAATTATTGACTTAGACCTCGCCGTTAATTTCTAAGAAAGTAATTGTTAATCGAGCCACCTGTGACTCGGCGGTCGTCGACAGGTTAAATGTCAATTCTATTGGTATAAAATACACATTTTAGTTTAAAAAGTCGAAAAGATGCGCTTTATCTATATATTTATAATGTATTTAAATCTTAGAAATAAAGGTTTGTTTTTATAATAGGAAAAAACTCTGTGCCGTACAGTACACATAAGCACTAAAGCGACGAAATGTCTTATTTATTTGAAACTCTGCAAAAGTGTAAAAACTTGATACTTTTGCATCTAATTGGAATTTGATGACTTTGGTAAACAACACAATATGGCGCAAAGCTTTAAAGCTGATTTGATAATGAAACCAGAAGTTAGACATGGAACTTTTTAACTAAGCCAACATAAAACTCGAATTTAGGCTCATTTAGTCTGTTTTACAAGACCAATACCTTGCATCTAGTCGAAAGCGAGAATTTTTAAAATTTTAAACGATAATAATAATTATTAACTACAGATTTTCAGGCATATTGCAAAACGAAGAAGAATATATGAAAATCATTAAAACAGTTCGGAGTGATTATTAGAAGCTGTTAAGTAAATATTACCTTTGGCACTCCACCAGACCGCACGTCACTGACTTGGCACAACTCGATGACATCTCCGTCCTGTAACAAATAGATTCTTAGTATATTCTTCTTTAGTTTAATGTTACGTTGCTATCGGAATAACCGTTGCTATCTGATTTCGTATGACACTGTATTTAGTGGTTAACAGAAATGAGGAGTGTTTTCTAAATCAAGATTAAAGAACAGATTTGAAAAGAGTTTTATCTGTGTGTTAGATATAAAGTACATAACACCTTCAGGTAAATTTCTAAGAAATTAATTAAATTTCTAGGAAATCTATTGTTAACTGTAACGCCGGCGTGTCCGCGGTCGTGGAGGGAATATTAGGTTTTTTTATAAATAATATAACAAATTTATATTTAGAATTTGAAAACGTAGGTATATCATTGTACTTATGTGTAACAAACTAGCTGACCGCACAGACGTTGTCCTGTCCCAATTTTGTATAGGATCTCTCGAGTTCATTCGCATTTTCCAAATAGCTTTACCAAATTTTACAGTACAGCAATTCATTTCACATAGTGTGAAAGTGTATTTTTATTGGTTTGTCCATCATTCAACTATTTCACAGATTAACTAATTTTATTCCGTTATAGCGTTACCGAAGGACAAAGACAAAATAATATCAATAAAAGATAATCCTACTAATATTATAAATGCCAAAGTTTGTGAGGATGTACCTATAAATATCTGGACGTATAAATGTATGTATGTTTGTTACTCTTTCACGCAAAAATTGTTGGATGGATTTTAAATAAAACTTTACAATAATATCATGCTCATACATCAGAATAACACACGGGCTACTTTTTATCCTGGAAAAATATACGGTTCTCATGGGATAGATATTTTTATTTTCCTAGAAGCGAACCCTAGTGAAGCTAGGGTGAGCCGCTAGTGATAGGTATATAAAAAGACATATAATTAGAAATGGAATTTAACATTTAACTTTCTAACATTCACAATAAATAAACATATTAAGAATAATTATTCAAAGAAATAAAACATATACATATGTGGTGTATATATAACATAATTTGTATGAAGATTCGCACTTCGAATCACGTCAACACGTCGTTAGCCGAAATCAGTGATTTGAGATGACGTGACGTGATCAGCCAGGTGGAATCAAGGGGAAAGAGCACCTTGTACTAGCGAATACTGTGCCAAACATTGAATGAAATATTGTTGTTTACGTAATATTATAAATGGAGTTAAGTGTGCAAATGATTCGAACACGAAGAGAGAGTAAAAATGAACGCATCATGTAAATATATACAAATGTATGTATGTACATATGTATAATAGAAGTTAATAAAAAAAGGACAAGTTTGAATTGAAAGAAACGACAGATTTGAATATTAACACCTCCAGGTAAATTTCTAAGATCAAAGACCATCAGAGGTGGTATGATCATGTCTCTGCCTTGGGCCGTGACCATGTTTGCTGCAAAGCATTCGAAACGTCGGGAACAAAACTAAAAAAAAAGGTATTTATTATTCATATTTCGGAATAAATAATATTTAAAACGTTACGTTTATTTGTGAACGGCTAACATAATTTTTAGTAAATTATTCTATTTCTTCGGAAAAACAAAGGTTCGGTCTGGAAACCCACAACTCCTACAAGCTATAATATTAATATAGACAGTCATGGGGACTGTCGACAGAAGTGAAAATTTACAACTTCGGAATAACTGTTTTTTTTTTATTAATTTTAGTTTGAATAATTAAAATTCCATCTTTTGCTCGGAACCCTAATTCTTTTTCTATTGTTTTTTTTTATATTAAGTAGTATAAAATTCCATATGCATTTAGTAAAAAGCTGTTATTTTGACATAAAAAACAGACATTTCAATTTTATTTATCTGTATAGATTATAGATGTCATGTTGTCTAAGCCTGCGATTCAAGCTACGCATTATTCAATAATTAAAAGGCTTGCATCATTTATCAATTTAATTTCATAATTATAATTGTAAATAATAATAATGACTTAATTATGTTTGTGATTATTATTTTTCTGTTTTGATTACTTAGATTTAATAGGTGAATATAAATAGGTAAAGATGAAATCGTGCGTAGTAGGAACGGTAAACAAGGCACAATAATAAAATACGTTGGCAATTTATAATGATTTTAGTTCGTCAATTTTATTTTAACTTTTTTCAATACCTGTTTTGCGTTATCGTTACGAAAGTATAAAAAAAATATTTATTTTTGTATTAGGGGTCATTCGAGTATTACGTACGCAGAATTTTAGTAAATATTAACCCCTCCCTCCGCCTTGTCGTACGTAAGCATTACGTCTAATTATTTTGGGGAATCCCTGAACGTGCTTTTCGCTTTTGAGCAAAGACAAGTAGGGTTGTCAAGTGTGTTCTGAACACATTAATGTGAAAAATCAAAATCTACTAAATTTAATGATATAAATAATAAATATTGCTGAAGTAATCACCGGCCAGATGCCCCATGCCCGATGTCATTAAAAATAAGTAAAGCAAAGACAACCCCCCTCCCTATGGTGCTTGCATAATGCGTGAATGGCCCCTTATCAGAATAAAATGTATTTTGCATTATGGGCATTATTGTACTATTATTGACATCAATAAATCTTTTATTCTAAATATTATACTTATTATTAATAAAATTAACTAATTATTCTAAAGGGTAGTGATTTGTGATTTTTTTATAACAGTGACATTGGTACGAATATCTGTTTGTAGGTATAATAAAATAGTAACAAATCGAAATCTGTATCTAGATGTAATGTTTCTAAAAACAATGATTTTTACGTCTTGTGTACAGAATATAGACCACAAAAAAATAGTTGTTAGAATTTTTGTGTGTTTGTCTATATATCTGTGTGCATTTAATTCAAGTAATGAACGAATTTTAACTAAATGTTGTATAATTTATTACTCTGGTCAACATTTACGATACGTTGTACGTTGTTGAAAATTTCTTATTCACATGGGAAAACACAATAACTGGTCGGTCGAGTTGTTCTTCATACAAAAAAATCAATGATTTAACGCAAAAAAAAGTTAGCAGCAACTATAAAAAATAACATATTTAACAATTTAGTTCGATATAATTCTCATATTTTTATGCGATAATGCAAATTCTGTTTGAGCGCAAGTCGCTCATCTAAATACTCGTATATCTATAGGTACCTATACAGTATATAAAAATAAAAGAATAACAAAAATAACAATTTAAATGTAAAATAATTATTTAAACCAAATATTTTTTTACAAATATTTCAATTTCAGAACATGCTCTGCAAATGTAATGCAAATATTATTCAATTGACTCGATTACAACAAACGCTACGTTATTATGTCAGACATAAAAAGAAAACGGATAACTACGTGTAGGTATATATATAACTCGTAAAAATTAATAATAGCAAAAAGCTTGTTCTTAAAAATGTTTTTTTTTAATATTAATTATTTTTTCATTTTTAAGTTTTTATCTATACAAATATTATAAAGAGGAAAGGTTTGATTTTTTGTTTGTTTGTTTGTTTGTATGAATTGAATAGGCTCCGAAACTACTTGGCAGATTTGAAAAATTCTTTCACTGTTGGAAAGCTACATCATTTCTGAGTGACATAGGCTATATTTCATTTTCAAAAAAAATAGGCATCCTTACTAAAATTACGATAACGTAATCCAAGGTGTGAAAAAAATATCAAAAAACTACCTTACATCGCGTGCGCTGCGAAAACTATTGATGATAGAACAAAATGATATACTACATTTTTTTAGAACACACCATTATCTACAAAAAATCAGCGGCAGCATATCTCTAACTATTACAGTCATGTCACAATAAGCGTTTTTTTATTGAAAAAAAGAAATTAAAATACCACCGCTACAAAAGCTCTTTATTTGTACCTTGGTATTAACCCTTATCAAAATAAATGATGTATTATTTAAGACTGCTTCAATATCTTTATATTACTTTTTGAATTATTCGATTCTGACAATCCATTCAAAAGATATCACGAGTTAAAAAAAAAAAAAAAAATAAACTGTATTCGGCTAGCTATGCGTTGTAGGCGTCACTCGGGCAGGGGTACGGGAGGGGGGTTAAGATCACGAAATAAACTTGCCGCGCGGCTTACTCGCGCGGTCGGCTCCCTACGTGATGGACGTGTGCGGAATTTACGCTTGATAATAATTCGTTTAGTAAGTAACTAAACCGATTTAAAAAGTTCTTTTCAGAACTAAACCCATTTATATAAAATATTGTTCACTTAGTTATTAACCTAATAAATTACTTGAATATTTTTCATGATTTTCAATTTAATTTTAATAAATAGTAGGTAGTTGTGTACGTTGTAATATAGTAGCATATATAGCTTACAGTTATGCTAATTTAGTTCAAAGGCATTTTTTCTTTTGTCATTTTGAAATGCCTAAAAGATCAAGATCTCAACTTTCTAGAAATAGTTCCCAGGCCAGGGCATCAAAAATACGTCGAAATGAAGAATCTTCATCAGAAACTGAAAATCGTCTTTCAATTCATAGACAATATGTGGCACAATCGCGTGCTAGAGAGTCGAGTACCGAGCGTTCGCAACGGCTCGCTGAACAAAATATGAGAACCGCTCAAATACGCGCGCGAGAATCCAGTTTGCAGCGTTCTCAACGGCTCGCTGAACAAAATGTGAGGACTTCTCGAGTCCGCGCGCGAGAGTCCAGTCTTGAGCGTTCAGAGCGACTAGCTGATCAAAATTTGAGAACCTCTCAAGCACGCGCGCGAGAATCGAGTCTTGAGCGTTTACAGCGTCTAGCTCAACAAAATTTGAGAACCTCTCAGGTACGCGCGCGAGAGTCCAGTCTTGAGCGTTCGCAGCGCCTTACTGAACAAAATCTAAGAACCTCTCATGTGCATGCGCGAGAGTCAAGTACTCAGCGTTTGCAGCGGCTTGAAGAGCAAAATATCAGAAATATTCAATCTCGCACTAGGGAATCAAGCTCTGAGCGTTTCCAACGCCTTCAAGATCAGAGAGAACGACAACAGACGTCAA